GAATATGCTATTAAAACACGTAAATTTCAGAAATAAGTTATTCCAAAAAAAATTTCGCTTGAAGATGGAACAGAGCTTACTTTAATTCAATTTAATTCAAATAATTATATTGAAGTTTTAGGCTCTTGTTTTGAAACATGAGACCTCTTATGTAGCGTGTTGGAATCATATTTTTAAATAAATAATTATATTTATGCTCTACTTTTGTATCGAGCACTATTTTTTTAAAATAATAACAAAAATACTAAAGAACTTTGGATTATTTACCTAACAAGTTCTTTCCTATTTTCTATATATTTTCACACACACACACACACACACACACACACATATATTATATGCACGTTTTTTTTTGTTTTTTTGTTTTTTTTGTTTTTTTTTTTGATAAAAAGAAAAAAATTATTACCAGAAATAGATTTTTGACAAAACAAAATATTACTAACAATGAAAAAAGTTTGTCGGCATTAAATAACCATTGGGGTTGATATGCCATAAAACAAATCAAACCCTGGATCAGGCATTGAAGAACCAATTCAGCAGAAATGAACAATAACTGACATCACAAGGACAAAATATTAGCCAATCAATGGAAACCTGATGATGACCAGAGGGTACTTGGCCAAAACATTGTGTCTATAATAACATCTATATCAACAATGGGAACAATAGTTTGAAATATGAAAATATTGACAATTATTCATCTCTGAAATGAAATATAAATTATGAAAAAGCAGTACAAAATTGCCATTGTAACCAAAATGTCAAAAACCATCTAATATTGAATATATAAAAGGCTTCTAAAAAACACACCAGTAATGTCCTTTGGGACAGTGGCATATAGAAGTTGGTTATACATGTGTTATTGTAATCTAGTGTTCAGGAGTTCAATTCTTGGATGTGGTAGTGACACACCAGTTCACAAAGACAAAATATAACAATAATCAACAGAAATCCATATCGGGTTGGTTGAAACATTGTGTCTATACTAACATATCAATCAAGATGAGAACAATATTTCAAAATAATACAAATATTTTGACAATTACTCGTTTCTGAAATATAAAATTTGTCATGACTTTTTAAAAAAAAAAAGAAAAAAGATTTCTTTTATGTGCTGTGTCCCTTCAGGAGGTGGTTAATCATGGTTCTCCACAACTTCCTATCCTTTTTGTAATGGATAGCGGCTTGGATTGAGGAATTGGAGAGCTGAGTTCGAATTCCAGTTGAATCCATTACATTCACTTACATGCTAATACCCTTGGGAAAGGTGTGAATCCTCTTCTTCTCCCTCCAGCTATGGGTAAATAGCAAGACAGACTGGGTTCTATAGCCTTGGATGGCAACTGGTCTAGGAGAAGGACAACTCTGAATTCAAACCCGGAGTGGAGCCCTGAAGGCGGATAGACGGCACTTTGTGCTACCTTCTGGCAAATCCTGCAGCCGCACTGGTATCAAACTGTATTGGTTTATCCTCTCCTTTGGACTCTGCTAGAAAGGTCAAGAAGGGGAACTAGACGTCTGGGCAGTCCTAGTTCTCCATATATCCCACCCAGTCTCGTAGTACATCATGCTACTCCATCGTCTCTTGAGACAGACGGATGCCGATCTGATGATGCAATGTTCTTTACTATCCCTCCCAGATTTATTGGGCAGGTTTCTCTATCACAATCTTCAATATATTGTGTGAGTGTTAAATTCTCTAAGCCCCCACTTCTATAGAAGCACAATTTTTTATGCCTCAAGACTTTTCTTCATCTGTGAGGAAATTGTCCAACATTCACCTAAAAGTTGCTACCTTTCCATGACTTAAATTTAATTTCAACAAACTAAAAACACCATAATTTGTCAAAAATATTTTGATAAACCGACTAATAACTCATAATTCTTGATAATGACTTGACTGTCGAATGGACTTGAATGTAAAAAAAAAAAAAAAAAAATGAACTTTGGAAATGTTTATTTTTGATATAAAACAACTTAGCTGAAAGTTAGAAAAGCTTAACCAAAAGTTAGACAGGACTTGTTGGTAGTGTTCAATAACACTTGTTTGAAAGAACACTTGTGCAGAAATACACACTCACTTTATTTATTTATATATATATTTTTTGACAGCATGTCATTATTGAAAGCAAGAAAAAATACAAAGAAAGATTATCAAACAAAAATATTTCAGTCTTCAATAACATATGCATATATATATATATATATATATATATATATATATATATATATATATAGTGTACAGTTTATATTTTATATAAAGAAACAATTTTGTACATAGAATTATTTAGCAATGTTAATGTGATTAATGGTGAAATCACTTCGCTAACAAGATTTTATGAAGCATTAACTTACTATCAACTATTTGAGTTGTTGCATAATTTAAAAAAAAAAAAACATCTTTCAGTCTACACATATTTCATCTTAGTGTTTGCCTGTGCATGGGAAAATTGACAATTTCAAATTGTGATATACAGGCTGCAAAGTACTTCGCATGTCACTTCCATCTGACGACAACTCAAATATAAGGATCCTATTATTCAAGGAATTGATAGTAAGTTAATGTCCCATTAAATCTTGTTAGCAAAGTGATTTTGCCATTAATCACATTAACATTTCTAATTAATTCTTTGTATAAGTTGTTTATGATTATATTATATATATATATATATATATATATATATATATATATAATGTTAGGATATTACATCGAAAACATGTCAAAATTGCTGCACAATTGCAGTTGTTTCAATGCATATCATCAGGTGATTGTACTTGGGAGTGAACGATTTATTTAGATTTAAAAGCAAAATACAACCTCTTTTTATAAAAAAAATAGATGGGGGTTAAAGTTTTTGGGCTTTACTTAGATCAACCAATTGAATATGACCTACGTTAATTTTATATATATATATATATATATATATATATAATAAAATAAAAGGCTCAAACACTAATATTCCATAGTTACAATTTATTAGATTGGAATTGTAATTTGTAATCACAATCCAATTCATCAGACCTACAATTTCAAAAAGAAATTGGAAAATATGACTCTGGGTATAAAAATCAACATTTTAGTGAGAGTGTATGTCTGGGAGTGGGAAACAAGGGTGAGAGGGAAATGTATGAAAGCTCTAGAGAGAGGTGTAATGGAAGAAAGAAGAACAAAAAAGGCCTTAAGGTGAAGGTGGGGATTAAAATTTAACAGAGAGAAGTTTTAAAGAGAGGAGTTAAATAACAGTTTAAATGAGTGAGATAAATATAATTCACTATCGATTCGCTGACCTAAATTAAAAAACTGTCACCGGAAACATGTTTATACATTTGTGGTGACACTATACACAATAAAAAAAATGATATGATCTAAACCTGAAATCTAGAAGATCAGAGAGAGGGGGGGGGGGAAGTGGTGGGAACAAACTAAAAACGACAGGTTACAAATTTAACATAAACATATAAAAATTAATGAATATTTAATCTAGTAAAGACCAACTATTTATATGCCCAAAAACACATACTTAGATACACACATACTCAACAACATATCTATATTTACTCGCACATACATGCATATACGTGTGTGTGCACACACACACACACACACACACATATATAAATAAATAAAATTAATACAATACACATACTCATGCATACATATACACATATGTGTACATAAACATATATGCATAAAACCTTACACACTCATCTAAATATATATATATATATATATATATATATATATAAAATACACAAAGATTTTCTTGATTAAACATTGGTTCTCTTGAAATGCCCTTATATATATATATATATATATATATATATATATATATATATATATATATATAAACAGTGTGTATTACATCTATTGGCATGCACACTTGAGAAAACTTAATAAAGAAAATATTCTCCAGCATGGTTTGAACCTGCATCCTCCTTTGTAGGAGAAACCACTGTTTGATCCAATGCCCCTTAGACTGCTCAGCCACAGAGAACGTCACAACCCAGCAAAGTTCTACTTACTCTTTTAAGCAATACATATTTTAGTTATTCTTGAAAGCCCAGTGAGTTGGATACCCTACCAGGATTTGTTATCAGTGGGCACAATTTTAAAAATATGAGCAGCTGACACTGTATTGATGGCAGCAACAGATGGAGAACTACAGGATTTCCTAGACAAGGTAGAAAAGGAAAGTGAGAAACATTGTAGATTATAGCAACATTGTTATTCATATCTTTTTCACTATAGAAATATTATAGATTAGCAGTAGAGCCCGGCATTGCCCGGGGACAGTAACAGTAAGAGATAGATCAAGTATCGACCATCATAAAGACTGAAAATTGACAAAGATTATTGTTTAAGGTTGACAGACACGCATGGCTTAATTGTTTTTTTTACGAATTGGTCAAACTCAAACAAAAACATTGTTTTCAATCGTTAAGAGTCTATCGATTGAATAGAATTTTATTATAAACAATTGTCTTGTAAATGGAATTTTTAAAGCATTCTGAATGTAAAAATAAAGAAAAAAAGTGTGCAAGACAATAAGAAACACTACCTGCCAAAAAAAAAAAAGTGAAGTTTTGTTGAAATCGGTTTGAAAATGTAGGAAATCCGATCCCATATATAAAGGAACACACACACAAACAACCTGGGTTTTATAATAAGTATAACTTGATATGAGTTGTCCCCCTTTCATTCTGGCGACAGAATCGTGTTTTCAAATTGATTTCGTGCAAAAACAATTGTTTTTTCAATTTTTGGCACTGTCAGAACCACCAAGGTAATTTTATGCAGTCCTGTGAAGTTTTGTTGAAATCAGTTGAAAAATGTAGGAAATTCAATCCAATATATAAACGTACAGACGCACACACACAATCTGCATTTTATAATAAGTAAGATTACAAGATATTGTGTCATATCTCTTTATATTGATTACAGAAACACTGTGGATCCTTAGATATTGTTGGTCATATCTTTTTCTTTTTCTTTATACTAGTGTATACACTGAAGAAACCAGGCACATATGCGGGAAATGATGCCATAGCTGCCTTTGCCCGCCTTCATCAGGTGCACATTGTTATTCACCAACTAAATTCACCATTCCTGCTGGTGAGTATCTTTCAATCACTTATGATCCATCTCTTCTCTCCCCATTTATGGGTTAAATTTGAATTTGTATCTGGGAAATTTATTATCTTCAAAAAATTGTTAATGCAATATTGAATTACCAAAAAAAAAAAAAAAAAATTCTTTTTACAATTCAATATATCTTTTGATTTTAAAGAACTCACTAAAGGTCAATAAGCTATATATAAAAAAAAAAAAAAAATCAATCAGCCAATCCCTTACGATTGCCTTTTGGTCATTCCAGTCTACCATAAGGCTGAGTTGAGAGTGAAATTAAGTAAATTACTCTATGTCTTGACTTTGAGAAGACACTTCAATTTTGATTTGCAATGTTTTTTTTGTTTTTTTTTAAATAAACAAATGACTGGCCAGCTTGCCGAATGACAAGTGGGGCCCCCTATATCAAATAAAAATGCAATAAAGAAACACGGGCAAATGAATTACTCTATGTCTTGACTTTGAGGAGGCACTTCAATTTTGATTTGCAATGATTTAAAAAAAAAAAAAAAATAAACAAACTGTTTTAGTAATAAAAAGAAATAAGAATTTTACAAAGTCATTTGCACACTCAGTCACTAAAGTCCAATGTGAGTCAAAATTTTCAAAGCTAAAGATCATTAAGACAAAGTTAAGAAATTCCTTTTCTGACCAGAATTTGGGATCATTCATATTATCCATTGAAAAGGAATTGTTAGATGAACTGGATGCAGAAGTAATTATTGGCAGGTTCACACAATTATTGAGTAATCACAAATGATTGCTCTTAATATGGTGAATTGCATGAAATATTCTATTGTGCTTTTGAACTATCAGTTAGTATGTAAATTGTGCAGTAAACTATTTAAAAATATCAACCAATTACTTATAAAAAGATAAAAAAAAATTCAATTACAACATTCTACATTTACTATCTCTTTGCCAGTAATATGTACAATACATGTACATGGTAGCAATTTTCTAAGTATAGCTTAGATGTGGCACAAGGACAAAAGAAGGGGGCACCCAGTGAGTATCAAACTCATTACTCAGTCATAATTGTTCTAGTGAGACAAGCTTGCTAACCATTACACTGTGTCCAGCTGCCCACATGTACATACACACGTACTTAGAAATACACAATTTTTTTCCACAAAAATTTTAATTGTACCTGTTTTTACTATATGTATTTTTTGAAAACTTTATTTATTCATTATGCAAATTAAATGATAGCATTGTGGGTGGGCCCTCTTTGTCCTCCTGGCAACCAATATTTTTTGACCTAGTCTGTCACTGAACGCAACCTTTTTCTTGTTGGCTTCAGGAGTAAATATTTAAAATTTATTTTGTCAGGAAACATAGCAATTCACTATTGTGTCATATGACAATATCTGTTGGACAAAACCAATATCAAAAATTAAGAATCTGAATTTTTCTTTTTCTAAACAGATCCAAGGCACAAAAGATCCTACTACAGCTCAACTGCACATTGCCTACCATAATGGGGACCATTATTCCAGCCTTCGTTGGCTTCATGACAACACAGAATCACCTGCGGACATTAGACTCAAGGTAACTTCTTTACTTTGATCACTTTGTAAGAATTTCATTAATTTCTTTTTTGTCTTTGAAATGAAGTTATGCGGGATCTATCCATGTTTGTTGATGATTGCTTCTTTTTTTTTTCATTATTAGTAAATAAACATCTAAGTAAATAGATAGTACATATCTACAAAACTGATCTTCAGTACTTCATATCTTAGACTGTCTTTTTTTTTTTTTTTTTCCTTTTCTCTTTGAGGTTGGCTTTTGTCTCCCCTTCACCATATGTCCTTCCTTCACCTTTTTTTTGTCTTTGTCTCCCTTTCTCTTTGAGGTTGGCCTTTGTCTCCCCTTCACCATATGTCCTTCCTCCACCTTTTTTTTTTTTGTCTTTGTCTCCCTTTCTCTTTGAGGTTGGCTTTTGTCTCCCCTTCACCATATGTCCTTCCTCCACCTTTTTTTTTTCCTCTGCCTTCTTTCCTCTAGTCTATCATACTTTCATCATATTTTTTATTAATCATTTTTTTTCTTTTTCTGTACTAGTTTTTATTTCATTGTTTACTCTGACACTAAATATTTCTTTGTGCCACTATATGTTACTTCCTCAGTTGTCTTCAACACTATTTTTCTTTGGCTTACACCCCCCATGTTGAAACACTGTTTCCTGTACAATCATCGAAGTTAAGCAACATCAAGCTTGGTCAATATCTAGATAGATAACCACTTGGGAATACCAGGTGCCGTAAGCCTAAATGTGCAGGTAGTATAATGAATGATGTCTTCGGAGAGCCAAGTTAGGTTCATTATATTCACTTACACACAAATATCCTTGCAAAAGGTATAAATCCCCCCTCCCCCACAACTATGGTTTGATGATGCAAGTTTTACTAATGACCTCAAAAAAAAAAAAAAAAATATATATATACACACACATTCATACATGTTTCATTAAATAATATAAAGTGTTGTCTATTTATTTTATGTAAATTCTTTTCATAACGTCTGATAAGCTTAACATCATTAAACAAAGAAAGAAAATCACAATATATATATATATATATATATATATATATATATATATATATATATATATGGTTTATGCAAAACTAGGTAATCAGTATGGGTAGACCCAAGGAGGAGGATATCCGGAGAGCTCAATGTAAATTCAGAGCAAATATGTTTGAATAAGAAACAGACCGCTTTAAGGTTCCATGTAATAAATTATTTCCCCACAGCCCTTTTAAAGGGCTCTGGATCATCAGACTTTACTTCCAAAGGTTGAAATGAAAAATGAAAAGAAATTTACACATTTTTGATGGGCTGTATTAAAGATAAGGATAAGGAATTGAAATGGTACATCTAACTCACTCATGTCTTCTCTCCCCCCTCACTTCACATATGCTTAATACGGCCCATCAAAAATTTCTTTTCATTTTTTATTTCAACCTTTGAAGTAAAGTCTGATGATCCAGAGCCCTTTAAAAGGGCTGTGGAGAAATAATTTATTACATGAAACCTTAAAGTGGTCTGTTTTTTTATTCAAAAAAAATATATATATATATATATATATATATATATATATATATATATATATAAAATTCTTACAATCTAAAAATATTTTCTGGCTTTAAATAACCTGCAAAGTGTTAAGCTGTAGAAAACAAATCAACCAACCCCCCCTCCCCAAAAAACTAGTTTTCTTTAGTAGTCTCTTTCTTACGAATTTCCCCCCTCCATATGTGTGTGTTTTTCTGATTACACTACTTTATAAATTCTGTCCCGCTCTCAATAAAGGGCAAATTATCATCTTCCATTTTTTTATGCTATTTTTTCCAGATTTTTAGCGATGATAAGAACAAACACAGCAAGACCAAAATCTCCTCCAAAGCTAATTATCGGGATGAGAAATCTGGAATAGCTCGTGCAGTAAGGGATGTCAAATCAATTGAACAAGAGGTGATAGGAGCAACTGGTTGTCAGGTAAATTGGCATTTCTTTTTTTCTCTTCTCGTTCAACAATGTTAATAATGGTTTTCATCATTTCATTTGTAACTGTTCGTTGAGAAAGTAACTGCTTTTACGAGTATGTAATTAAAAGAAAAAGAAAAACAAAATCAACAGATAGAAAACTGATTTTAAATCTAGTCTGCTCCTGCTGATTGAACAAAAAAAGGCTTAAACTTAAAATACCGCATTCGTTACTGAATTCAGCAAGAGATTTAGGAAGTCCAGAGTCAACAATGGTTTTAAATTTATAACGATGAGCTGTTAGTTTTCTTGAGTGAATTTAAATAGCTTGCTTTTTCATTATTTTTTTTTTTTCACCTCTTTAATATTTTGTTCGTATTTTTAATAATAAAAAAAAAAAATGTCTGGTTCAAGGGAAGTAACTCTAAACGCAATCTTAATTTTTTTTTCTCTGAGAAAATAATCCATGCCAGAAAACGTGAAATTTTTGACAGAAATACAAAGTGCGATGAGTAAATTGTCGCCATTTTTATATTTTTAATTTTGTTTGTTTTTTATTTTGTCAACTGCACGGTATCGTAGGGTCAGTTTTTCGTGAGAAAAAGAGCACCATGACAAAATTCAATCCACCAGAAATTTAGAAGCAGCATGCTGGACTGCTTGACATTTGTGCCAGAATCTCTGATATGAACAATTCAGTGTTTGGGTATCAATGTGAGGACAGTGCAGAGGATTTGGAAAGGGCTGGATGAGTCCAATGGTGATTACAAAGGTACGGCAACTCGGAAAACTCACTCTGATCATTCTGATAAGAAAAAAAAAAACTCCTGAATTTGTTGGTGAGGGCCTCAGACTCAACATGGAGGTCTACATTAAGTGCCTTGGGGAGGTAGTGCTACCCCAGGTCAAGAGGGTGGCTGCTGGAAGACCCTATGTCTGGCAACAGAACTCTACACCATGCTACACAAGTAGGAGAACCCAGTCATGGCTGTCAGACAGTTTCTACGACATCACCCATTACATCTGGCCACCTAACTTCCCAGAAAGCAATCCCCCTTGATTATTATGGGTGGGTTATAGTTGAGAAAGAGACCAACAAAATTCTGTGTAACACCAAAGATGAACTGAAAGAAAGGATTATAGTAGCATTCACCAATTTAAACAAGGAGACTGTTCAGAAGAGTTGCAGGAAATTCCAAAGTCGTCTGGAAGCCATGGTTGAAGCCAATGGAGATTTTATTGTATGAATTTACTCTTTAGTATTTAAAGATATTTTTGTGTAATTTTGGTAAATATATCTGTTAAATGAAATGTCAGAGTTATTTTCATTTTTGTGTAATTTAGACAATAATTTATACATTGCACTCTGTATGTCATAGGTTTTTTAGCATAAAATCTTTAACTTTTAACAATGTGAATTGGGAGGATGGTTATTAATCCTACCAGCCTTTAAGAGATTTCAGCCCTGGCAAAATTGTAGAAAAATCTGAATATGTGATGTTAGTGCAATTAAATTGATATATCTCAAAAACTGGAGACAGTCAAGTATTACAAATTCATTTAATGTGAAAGTACATTGATTTCTCTCTCAAATGATACAAAATTGAGTTTCCTTGATATTACCATTTATAAGATGTCTACAATTTTGTAAAAGTTCCAGATTTCTGGCACCTCCAGTTGATCATGTGATGAGTTTCAATGATGAGTATTGAAATACAGCACTAACCAATCATAGACATGTTAATGCATGCTTGGATTGTAAACATATGAAACTTGTGGATACATTTGGGTGCTTCTGGCCTTAAAGGTCTTTGCTGGGATGTTTTAAAACCCTTTCTTAATTTAATTTATAGCAACATTGGTTAATTATTTTTTTGACCACTTGAAACTCACAGTGATTGAAAGCACACAAGTCCAACCCAAACTTGAACTAAGAAAACAAGCCTAGCAAGCTTGCCTTCTCCACCTCAGTCATGGAGGATTACATTATTAGTGTTCCTTGACACATTTGATGAATGTCAAATATCTTTGACATGATTTGAAGCTCAATCACTATGTTTTGTGAGTTTATTATCCTAGTGAACTTCCCTAATCCAAACTCCAATATACACTGGTATGTGATGAATAGAGTGTACAGCAGAATTAAAGACACTGGAACAAGAAATGTAATATTTGCTCAGAATGATATCAGAAAGAGCAATACAAATGCAGAAGGAAGTGTACCTCTGTTTTTATAGATTATGCAAGAGCAGTTAATAAAGTACATCACTAAGAACTGTTGGAATTGCTTAGTAACCTTGACATATTTGGGAAAGCTATTAGAATCTTGTCTTGTCTTGTAATAGCATTCACCCTGGGTGGGTTGAGACGGCTCCAATTGAATTAACTGAATCACGCGTCAAGGCAATCCCAAAACCCCTCCACCCTGTCGATCGGCAGCAGAATCGATGGCATGATCAAGCCATTTGCGATTCCAGCGTCGGACCCCAAAAACGCAAGGACTGGATATGAGTTCCATATCTGCTTTGACCATTGCAAGCCACGTCTTGAGTTGACCACCTCTGTGCTTCCTCCAACCAGTAGGTGCGTTTGGCACCACCAGCTATTAGAATAATCCAGAAAATATACTGACAGGAAAACACCTGCATATGGATAGAAAATGAATTGTAAATATACAGAAATAGAAAAGATTGTACGACAAGGATGTGTCTTCTCACCAGACTTATTCAACATAAGCAGTGAGGCAATTCTGAGAGAATTAAAAGTTCTACTAGAATTTTAACATAAGATATGCAGTTGACAGTGTTGACTGCAGACATACAACTCCTCCAGAAGGCAGTGAAAGAAATCAAAAAGAAAGGAATAAATATCAATTGAAAGAAGATAGAATGCATGGTTTCTAGCAAAAGGAACAGTTCAAATTGAAAATTGGAGAAACCAAAATCAAATAAGTACAAAAATTTAAATATTTGAGAAGTGTTTGAACAGAGAATGTAAAGTGCAACTCTGAAATTCAAAGATGCATTGGGATAGTTAAAGGTGCTTTCCAAAAACTTAGCAAAGTATTAAGAAACAGAAACACTTCATAAGAAACAAAGAAAAGATTACTGAACTGTTATGTAATATCAATCCTCTTATATGTCTGTGAATGCTGGACAATCTCTTCACAGATGAAGAAGGGACTTGAAGAAAAAGAAACAAAGAAAAGAGTACTGAACTGTTTTGTAATATCAGTCCTCCTATATGGCTGTGAATACTGGACAATCTCTTCATGGATGAAGAAGAGATATGAAGCAACAGAAATGTGGTTCTACAGAAAGATTCTGAGAATACCATGGACCAAACATATGAGCAACAACAAAGTTCTGCAGACAATGAAAAGTAAAAGGATATTTATACTTAACATCAGAAAGTTGAAATTTCTAGGGTACATAATGAGGAAAGAAGGCTTGGAAAATTTTATACATTCAGGATAGATTGAAGGTAAGAGGGAGAGGGGGAAACAATGCATAACATACCTATCAAGCTGCAGGGTTTGGAAGAGATAGCAAAAAAAAAATAATTTATTATAAAGCTACAAAGGACCGGAAGTAGTGGAGAGCTATGATTGCTAACATTCAGAAGGAACATGGCACAAAGGTTCTCATTACCTTGATCAGAATTGTAAACAGAAAAATTATAGACAATATTAAACCTAATCTGTATCCAAGAGAAAGTGGGTATTTTCATTTTTCTTGATGTTATCCAAGTTTTGGGAAAAGTCGGGAGCAGACAATCTTTTGCACTTTAACTGGACTGGAAAAAACTTATATTGAAAGAGTCCCATATGAGAACCTGATAATAGCAAGTACTTAAAATATGCTGTCATTTTTTATGATATTGGTAAAGCTGTCATAATATGATTGGACATAAAGTGGTTTGGTTTGGTTTGTTTTACAGCATATCAACCTCAATGGTTATTTAATGCCAACAAGTTTTTTTTATTGCTAGTAATATTTTTTTTCCAAAACTGTATTGCTGTTATTAAAACCTATTTTTACACTTTCATAGTGTTTTGACCCCAGTTGGGTGTTGGGGGGGTTAACTATTTGCCCATAGCTGGGACCCTAACAGGTGCTATCACCCCAGTCAAGGTGGACCTAGGAACACCAGCAATTAAGAGGTGGTTCCATGCTCCTCAAAACCTCCTGATCAGAGGCATTGATGCTGGATGTAGTTTATCGTCTTATCCAGGACGTTTGATATAAAGTGGAAAGGATCTGTTTTATATTGTTAATAACTAATAAGTTGACCCCCTCAAAATTAGTACACATTAATAGGAAAAATAGTCACATGTGAAGATCTAATAATAGTAAGGAATTAACAAATTTCCCAACCCTTTCCTCATTGCGTTGTTTTTGCTTTAGGCATACCTAAGCATTAGCTAATGTGTTAATTTGTCCTTGTAATGTCATTTCTGTTCGTTCCACAGAACCAGAAGATATGAAGTCCACAGATTACTCTTGCATTCATTCTAATACAATTGTTCTTGGCTGCCCTTAATAAGGTTTCATCTCTTTGTCAGTACATGATACTTTTATTATTCTGCTGTTTTGTTCATCTTGGTCTTAATATAGTTTGTTCTCATACAATTGTTTGCACAATAATATTTCATTTTAAATTGGCTATCGAGAATGACTCATTTGGAAGCAATATAAATAGACTGTCTTCTGTGTTTAGTAAACAGAATCCTCTTTATGAGAGTTATCCAGTAAAAAGCACATTTTACTGTTAATAAAAACTGGGATGCTTTTGACAATGAATGCATTTCCTATGGAGAAAGAAATAAAATAATTTTCTCTTACAAGAGATTTGTAGAAGCTTTTTTTTTTCTTTTAGGGTAATAAAGAAACACATGGTAAAAACTGACAAATCAGTTTTTTATCAATGAATTACAGAAATATCCTTGAAAATACCTCAGGAAATTATTTTTGTTATTAGTGAAGATGTTTAAAATATTTTATTATGTGATTAATGCCAGCCAGGGGTCTGAATATAAATTCAATGTCTATCAGAAAGAGTTGATCTGTGGTAACCCCAATATGTATTGAATTAAGAGATACCAAATTTTCTACTTGGTGTCACCTCAGAATGTCAAAATATTTGGGTGGCTCAATGGTTGTTATTGAAAGTGACCTCATATCCACCAAGTGCAGAATCAGGCTTCAATGGATGTCTTGTGAGGTTGCCAACATAAACAAGAAGTAAATCCATCTAAACTTAGGATATATACACACAAGCAGATAATAGGGAGTTATGTAAATGTTTTAGGGGAGAAAGAGAATCCTTCACAATCTTGCAACAAGTTCAAAAAAGACCTGAAACCACATACCTTCAATTTGGTTGACATTAATTTGATGGATCCCAAAGGTGAATAAATAATTAGTTAATTTGTTCTTGTGATGTCACTTCTGCTCATTGCACAGTCATTGAATATAATGTTTATTTTAAAATTCCAGGAATGTTACTGAATTAGGCACCTAAAAAAAAAAATTTAATGTCCAAAATATTGTTACTATAACAGCCAACTACATGTGGCTGAGTGGTTAGGTTAGCATTCCAACCATACAGTCCAGGTTCAAAACCCACCATAGTCAATTTGTCAAGGAGATAATTCTTGATAATTCAGCCTTGGAAGAAAAATTGAAAATTTCCCAAGAACTATGCCTAGCCTTATGAGAGAAATTGGGTAAAACAGAACTGTTCAGAAACTATTAATGGACTAGCATGAAGTCACAAATCCTCATGGTTGAAGGTTTGGTCATACAAGTTGAATGTGCTTTCTGTCTGAAACTGTAACTAAGGTCCACTCAGCAGAGTTGCAGTATAAAAACACAGGTTGGGTTTGTGGGTGTTGAAGAAACACAAATGTGTGAGCAAGTATCAACAATAGCCTCTAAACATGCTAGCTGACAAGTCTACTTAGACACAAGCAACCAGCCATTATATTATTATGACAACTATGACTAGAGCAACTGGCCACGACATCATTATGACAACTATGACGAGGGCAACCGGCCACAACATCATTATGACAACTATGGTGAGGACACTTGTTTGAATAAATTGATGTATAATAGTGGTTTTAGAAGTTTATAAATTTTGATTGTTTTGTGATTTTTGACAATGTTGAAGGTAAGAATAGAAATAATTTCTAAGATATTGTAATAATTATCATTCACATCTGTGTGTTATCTTTTCTAGGACCGGGAAATAATCCAGAAATGTTTGATAGAGAATGAGTATGATGTTGATGCCACCATTGCTGACCTTCTACAGTTACTGAAAATTTCTCGACACGAAGGTCAGTCAAACACTAACATTTATTCTTCTAATCACTTGGGGCAGGGATTTGTTTTTTTTTTAAACTCCTTTTGCTTCCACCTGTTTTGTGAATATTTCTTTTTAAATCCTATTTCCTACCATGTAAAATGGTGCATTTTTATTTTTGCGCTCACTTGTTTAAGTGAATGTTTTTTTTTTTTTTTAAATTGTATTTCCTATCATGTAAGATGCATTTTTATTTTTAGTCTTTTTTCTCCCAGCTTTTTTGTGGAAGTTTTTTTTTTTTGTTTTTTTTTTTAAATCAATTCCTACAATGTAAGGTGCATTATTATTTTTTGCTCCCATCTTTTTTCATGAATGTGTTTTCTTTTTTAAAATCATATTTTCTACCATGTCAGATGCATTTTTCCACTCCAGCTTTCATACTGATACTAGTTTAAACTTCAACATTCCTGCTTGACACTTGTTCCCTGACAATCCCAGAATTAAATACATATATTTAGAAATTTGTTTGTTTAATGGCATATCAATTAATGCAGGAAAATAATTTTCTTGGGAGCTTTGGTAACATTTTTTTTTTTTTTTTTACTACTAAAATCTCTTGCTGGTATTTTTACTATTTTTTTACTTTCATAATGTTTTTACCTTAGTTTGGAGGTTCACTATTTACCCATTGCTGGGACCCTTACAGGTGCTACCTCCTCAGGTCAAAGGAACAACAGCAATTAAGAGGTTGTTCTATGCTCCCCAAACAGAGGCCTTGCTGCCGGATGTAGTTTATTGTCATACCGAGGATGGATATTTAGAAATGACTCATTTAGGATTACAAATCAAAATAATGCTCATATATTCAATAAATCAAGAAAGGTTCAAGTAACTTATCTGAATGATCAGCCAAAGAGCAAAGCTCTTGAGTCAATCAATCAAATTGGTCACTTGAACTTTTCTTGATTTATTGAATATTATAGTGGGTTGGTACATAATTATCAGGCATTTTTAAACAATAAAAGAAACTTAACGATTCAACAATAACATTTTTAAATGATTATTCCAGGGCATCTGATTATCGACAGGCATTTTGGTGAATTTCAACAAGGGCAAATAATTGGATGGCATCAGTGTGGCAAGTCAAATAGAGAAATTGCTAGGTTTTTCCAGGTTAATAATATTGTCAAGAAATTTAATGAAGAAGGCCATTGTCATGTGGAACAATGTTCAGAAAGACCAAGCATCGTGTCTGAATGAATGAAAAGGGGTGCTGAAGATAGAAGTCATCAGAAACCATCGTCAGAGCATCAAAGATGTCACCATCAGCATGGAAATGTCACCATATGTGGTGAGAAAGACTCTGAAAGAGCTAGGCTATCAAAGAAAAGTTGCAAGAAATAAGCCCTTGATTTCAGAGGTTAACAGGGAACAGGTGTATGGACTGGGTGAGAGAATTCGAAAGCAAAGATTATGAATTTTGGCAGTCTGTAATTTGGTCAGATGAAAGTAAATTCTGGCAATAGAGAAAGAAATTAGAATGAGACTTGGAGCACTGAACGTCTGCAGGCAACTGTGAAACATGGAGTGATTTGAGTAATGATGTGCACGGAAATCTGAGCTGATTCTTGTTGATGAGTGGTTTAATTGTCGAAAATACTGTCAAATATTAGAGAAAGAACTACTCCCACTATTTGAAACCAATCAGATTAACAAGAATGTCTATCTTTATCAAGAAGATGGAGCTCCATGTCATGTGAGTAAAGTAGCAAAGACCCGGAAGGAATCGCAAGGAATCAAGTCACTGGCATGGGTAGCCTAAAATCCTGACATTAATCCAATAGAGCAGATTTGGGAGCACCTTTATTGAAAACTTTGAGAGTGTGCAACCAAAATCACGTCAGTGACAACCCTTAAAGAAACATTGCCAAAGGAGTGGCAAAATATGGATCAAATGATTGTTAATAACTTTATCAAATGGACCTACTCTATACCAGTTCCAAATAATGTTTATGTTGAGTAGGCATTACGTAATTGAATTTTGAAATTGAATGTGGTTTATTTCTCCTGGCTAAAAACTTTTCTTTTTCCCCAAGTATCATATCTTTATGCCTAATCATTGGTAAGCATGGACTTACATGCCTGCTTTAAGACAGTGTCGAAAGGACATTTCCCCCCCCCACATAACGGCACTATTTTAACTACCTTCACTCTTTGACAAAGTTTGTTTTAAAAAGCGATTATTGGAATAAAACCTAAACATGTGAAAGTGAATTTATACATTTTCTTTCTTGAGAATTGACAACAAAAATAACAAACACTATTAGATTGTTTATTGGAATGGTTAGCAAAGCATTGGCTAATTGCCAATTGATTTGAACTTTATAAAATAGTAAATAAGAATTTCCTTATAGTTGGTTCACATATTTTAATTTAGTGAATGTTTATAAATTTATGGATAAAAAATTGTTTTCATAAATTGATAAATAAATATTGCATCACATTAGTTCTAATAATGTAAATTCTCAACAACAAAAAAATAAATTCACTTTCATCATATATTTAGGTTTTATTACAATTCTAATCATCTCTTTTTAAAATGATAATTAAATACCTACTCTTCAGTAATATTTAAGTGGTGTCATGGGAAACAAAGTGTGCTTTTGACACTCTCATATAACGGACATGTAAATCCATGTTTGTCATGTCGTCTTTAAGTATTGTGACTTCATTGTTGTCATAATTTTTATGACAAACTAAAAATCATAACTTCTATGACTAAAACTAAAAAAAGGCAACACTTTATGAATAATATAGTTGCTTTTTTATTTTTGTTCTCACCTATTTTGCCACTAGTTGGGACCCTAACAGGTGCTACCACACTGGGTCAGGGTGAATCTCGCAACAACCTCACTTAAGAAGTGGTTCCACACTCCTCAAAACCTCCCAATCAGAGGCCATTCTGACAGATGTAGTTTATCATCATATCCAGGACTCAAAATGTATATATCTACCTGTTTGTTATTTAAGAGAAATTTTTTTTGTAACCCACCTCAAAAAAAAAAAAAAATATTCATATTCAAAACAGCTAGAGTCAGTAACTTTGTAAAAATCAGGGATTGATTTGCCACTGTATTGATATTATAAAACTCTTTTAAACTGATATCAATATTTTTTTTTTTATTCTGACAAGTGTTACACACTAAGGAAGTTTCAAAGAATGCTGATCTACAAAAATTATTTCCTAAAACAATTTTCGCTATCTTTTAAGAGTGGACCAAGTTCAGCAGATATACAAAAATAGAAAGGAACATAAGACAAGAATGTGTCTTCTCACCAGATTTATTCCACCTATACAATGAGGGAATTCTGAGAAAATTAGAAGTCCTACTAGGAATCATTATTGATGGCTACAATCTTAACAATATAAGATAACCAGATGATGCAATGCTGATAGCAAACACAGAAAGAAAACTACATATCCTACAGGAGGCAGCGAAGGAAAGGAAGAAGAAAGGACTAAGTATAAATTACAAGAAGACAGAGTGCATGGTTGTGAGCAAATGGATGAGCCCAAAATGAAAATTACAAATCAGGGAGACTAAAATCAAACAAGTACAGAAATTTAAGTATTTGGGAAGCATTCTAATGAAGACATGTTGGGATGACCAAAGATGCATTCGAAAAACTAAGAATGTTAGGAAAGAAAAATTTCATTAGAAACAAAGAAAAGAGTACTGGACTGTTACAGGATATCTGTCCTCTTGTAAATGCTGGACAATCTCCTCAAAGATGAAGAAGAGTGGTTCTACAGAAAGATACTAAAGATACCATGAACTGAACATGTGAGCAGCAAGATTTTGGTGAAAATGAAAACAAAAAGGAAAATTATACTTAAGATCAAGAAGAGGCAGTTGAAATTTCTAAATGAGGAAGGAGGGCTTGGAAAACCTGATACTCACAGGACAGATTGTGGGACATAGGAAAGCAGCACATAATGTATTTGATGAGCTTGATCAAATGTATGGTAGAACAGGGTTTGGGAGAAATAACAAAAAGACAACTTATTAAGAGCTACAAAGTACAGGAAGATTTGGAGGACCATGATCACCTATATCCTGAAGGAACACAGCACATAAAAGAAAGAAGAATGAGATATTACTGCATTGTACTTTTAAACCAATACTAAGGATTCAACAGGTTAAGAGTTAGAAATAGACACAGACACTAAAACAGAAAATGTTATTTATATATTATTTTTAAAAAAATCACTTTGAGGATAGCAGTTGTTATTGGTAATAAGCCAAATTCTTCAGAAGCTTTTCAAGTAGTAAATACAAGCTGGCTGTTATGTTACAGAGTTGAATTTCCAGAAGACTGGAAAATGTGGAGGGCCATGATCACCTATGTCCTGAACAAGACTACCTGAGTAGTGACCTGTGCATCTATAAAATTTAGCAGAAAAACCATATATCCTCAAGGCTCTTAGATATCTGAAGGCAATAATTTGGTAGTAAATAAAAGGGTTATTAAACTCCAGGAGAACAACACCTTCTTGGGCTCATGTTTTCCATTGACATGAAGTAGAGTGTCTATATTGAATCAGTTGCTGGATCTACTGCTAGGAAAGTTGGTTCACTGTATAGTGCCAGAATCATAAATCAACTGTTCATCACTGAATACTGCTACCATATCTAGTCTGGTGCTCTTGTGTGCCACTTGAGATTCTTGACAAAATCCAAAGAATGGTCTGTAATGTAATTGACCTTGACCAGGCATCTTGACTTCAGTCACTTTCTCACCAACATGACATGGCTTCCCTTTGTCTTTTCTACAAATATTTTCATGGCAACTGTTCTGATGAGCTTTTTTTCTGTGTTGCCTCAACAATGTGAATTTAAGCTTGCTACTAGATTGGCAACTAGATTTCACCATTTTACTGTTGAACTAGCTAGATGCAACGGCCACATTTACTTTAAGAGTTTTTCTTGCACTTCTCACCTGTGGAACTCAATTCAAATTTCTTGCTTCTCCTACAATCCATCAATTGCCATCTTCTTTCTTCCTGAACCCTTTTCCTTTATTGCTCTTTCCTTGTTAATGTCTTCCCATTTTCTGTAACACCCTGCATCTTTGTGGCATTATTGCCTTGCTTGGAGTGAAATGATTAAATATATAAGCATTTTAATGTTTTGTGTTTTCCTTCTTGTTTATCACTTCATAAAAAGTAATTAAATTTTGCAGTGTCACATGATCAGACACCAACCAATCGTAGAAGTTCAATTTGAATGTTATTTATTTTTAATGTTTTCTTATTTTCTCCTTGCAGAAAAGTCAAATTCTGGAAAGAAGTCTTCCCAAGGAAAATCTTCAGAATCTGGCCTGTGGACCGAAAAAGGTTCTGGATCTCGTATATTTGGGAGCATTTCTCTCAACTCTTCCTCATCGTCTTCAATGACATCTTCATCTTCATCATTGCGAAAATCCAAAGACGCTAATGTCCACTTCACAGAAGATTGTATGAGTGAAAGCTCAGGATATGGGTCTCTTGGTAGCGGAAGCAACAGTGGTGCAAGACCCAAACTTTTTATTCCACGGGTACGCGTACTGTAGGCTACCCCCCCTCATGCCTAACCCAGGAAGTGTACAGACCATGACTCAATCCTTTCTCTCCCTCCTTATCTCCATGCCTCGCACTTTATAGAAATTTTCCCTTCTGTCTAATGAGGAAAATTTAAAAAAAAAAAAAAAAAAAAAAAAAAAGAAAAGACAGAAATTAGTGATACCTTAGTAAATCCTTGCAGGAAATTTATTTATTTTAAACATATCAGGGTTTTTTTTTATCTTTTGAGTTCATTATATTTCTATAAGTATATTTGGCAGCCATTTTGAAATTACTTTTTCTTGAAGCAGAATTTTTATTATTTAGCTCAAAATTGCCATAATGCTTACCGGTATTGCATCCTCTGAGCCTAACTAGAATTATTTATTAAGGAAGTAATGTTTTTTGTTTCCTCTCTTTAGCAATTATTACCATTCTGTGGATTTAAATGCCCACATAAACTACTTGTTCCTGGTATAGGGTCGTGATGTAGATCTTTTAATAGGTATTTGTTCACATTAAATAATAACTTATCTCTTTTACTCCCATCTATATCTCAAATGCATTAAAAAGAAAATTACACTTGGATTTGTGAGATTGAGTGCAACTTTACACCACCTTTTAAGATGGATGTAGAATTTATGGCAATAAAATGAGCTCAAAATATCAAATGGTGTAAAATTTATAGAATGTTCATTTACAATGCAAATGAGCATTCTGCAATGATATCAAATTTTTCATTGCAGATCTCTTATAGAATAACACCTCTATACTTTTATAAGGTGTCTTTGAAACAAAATCAGTTAAATGATATTTCTGTATCCATACATGTAGACATGATATCTGATCTAAAGAATGAAGGAGGAAAAACAGGATAAGAATTTTAAAAAGGTTTTTTTTTGTCACTGCTTTTCAAAGAGGATTGTTGACAAGTGTAAGGGAGACCACTGTTACAAATAAAAATGTTATAAATGATTTTTTTTAATTTCCTCTTTTTACCCCTCCCCCCTCTTTTTTTGTGGTAAAAGTCTTTCCTTTGAGCTACTCTATCAGGGCCTTACATCTTAATTTTCATATAAAATACAAATTTTATTGTAACCTAATTATTTACAATAATGGATCATATGCTGTATAGACGAACAATTCAACTAGAAAAATTGAAAATAAATAAATTGAAAATAAATACAATGTATCTAAATACAAATTAGAGACCTGTCATAACAAATAAATCATGTCATCTTAAATAAAGTAACAATCTTTTGCAGAAATTTTTAACATCAACTTGAGATTTCTCTTGTAAAAATGTTAGATAATTTCAACACATTCAACATTATGGATAAAAAATAGTAAGTTTTATAGTGTTTTTTTTTTTTTTTTTTTTTTTTGAATTAGCATGAGAAAATAAATTCACTGATTTGGATGAAAAAAAAAAAAAACCCAGAATGATGTCAAAATGCACAAAAAATTTTTCATCCTTTAATAGTCAGTTGTACTTAGTTTAATTTGTAGCATATATAAATGTAGATAGAAGAAAAGTAAATGTTGATAAGATAGCAAGGGTTACAAAGTACTGCCTGGAGTCCCCCAATCAGGCTTTCAACTCCATTGGGTGGTTCATGAGTGGTTTGCACTGGCCCTATACTCTATAAGTTTGTACTTTGTATGAAAGAATATGAGAAAAAGTAAACATTAAGAGGAGAGAACAATAAAAGAACAGCAATTAAGACAGAAGATAACGATTAATATTGCATTTAAATTTGTGAAGATCAAAGTTGACTGGAAATCAAGAATTTGGTCAACTTCAATGGGTTATTTAATGCCAACAAAATTTTTATTGCTGGTAATATTTTTTTCCTCAAAAATGTGTAGCTGGTATCAAAACCTATTTTTACACTTTCATAATGTTTTAACCCTGGTTTGGGGGTTAGTTATTTGCCCATAGTTGGGACTGTAACAGGTGCTACTGCCCTGGGTCAGGGTGGACCTGGGAACACTAGCAATTAAGAGGTTCTTAATGCTCCTTACCTTGCTGCCAGATGTAGTTTATCGTCATACTCAGGATGGGCAAGAAGATGGAAGAAATGATTAGCCTAGGATTTAAGGTTGCACCTGGCTGTTTCAACTGTAAGATGATGAAAGCATGTTGTCAATTTAGTAGTCTGCTTTAATTCATAAAGTCTAGGTACCAAAGAGAATAGTTGGGTAGGAGTCAAATTGCATCGAATAAAGCTTCATTACACTTAAAGATTCAACACTTTTCCTTACATCCCTCTTTTTGTAAGGAGTCAAAAAGGAAAAAAATAATTGCTTGTTGAAATAGACCTGTAACTTGCTATTTTGTCTACAATATTCCTTATAAAAAATCTATTTTTATTTGTAATATTGTTTCAGAATTAGATATTCCTTACATCTGTCAACAATCCTCTTCGAGAAGCATTTACTGAAATGTAGATAAGTGGACTTAATTTTTTTTTCTAAAGAAACTTTCAATGTGTCCACTATTTATGTTTTGTCTTAACAAAAATTTATTCAAATCTCTGATCTTTAGTTTCCAGAACAAAGTCATTTTTTAGTTCCAATTCTTGAACATGAAAATTATGTTTATATTACTTTTGTTGATATTGTTAATCAATTTATCACGTGTGAGAGCAGAGAAGTCTGCCAAAAGACAAATATTCATAGTATTGCTAGCTTGTTCCACACTTCTGAGGGAAGGATGGTCACTCAATCTGTCTATCTTCTGCAGGTGCCCTCTTTCAACTGTGCTGAATGAACCTAGCCTAATGCATGTAATCTGTTTTTGGCAGCTGGGTGAACCAAGCTGTAGTTTTCTTCTCTCGGATAGCTTGCATTACAAGACAAGTGCTTCAACCATCCTGCTATTTGCCAATATATCTGGGTACTAGGCAGCAGGGAACAATTCTTGACCTGACAGGAGAGATGGATTCATGCCTTTCCCAATAGTATTAGCACCAAGCAAACACAAACTAACTTAGCTGGAATTTGAACTTGGTTTACAGATTCCATTTTTCACTTTGATAATCATTATGCTACCTTCATATCATATATTCACAGAGAGATATTCAAATATGATACTGATCAAAATTGCTTTTTTTTAGGATGATAACTACAGTGTAAATATATACATATGTAAAAAGAGAATTAGTTTGTTTACATTTCAGATACGAAAATAAAAGTTAGCAGATATGGGACTTGAGATCTCTAAACAAGAAAAGTGCATGCCTTAAAAGGTAATAGAACCATGTCGGACTGTGAAAGCTTTTCATGACCAAGTTGTCTAAACGCACATTAGATCAAACAGTGGTTTTCTCCTATAAGGAGATCACAGGTTCAAACCCTGCTGGAAAACAGGATACTAATGGCAGTATACAAATTTACAATGCTTGCAAAACAGGGATGTCTACTCAAACATGTGTAGCCAATAAATATAACATTTAAATTAATAACATTATATATATGTATATAGCATAATGAGAAGCCACATATACTTTCTTAATATGTATATATAGAAAAAGTTGCAAATTAACAAAATAATGTTTTTTATGAAAGTATTTATTTATTTATATATATATTTGATATTTCATAACATAATCTACTATTTATTCTGCACCTTATGTCCTAATAGTGGATATATTGGTGAATCTGGAAACAATTTTAGATTTCGCTTCAACAATCATAAACAAACCATATGTCAAAACAATCCTCCCTATAGCTGAACACTTTAATCAGGACACTCATTAGAAGATTGTAAATGTTTATTGATAGATTCTGATTTCAGTTTCACATACACATGCAGAAAAACAGAAAAATACTTTTTTAATTTTTTTAGATAGAATTAAAAAAATTTTTTTTATTTTTTTTTTAAACAACATCTAAAATATTATTACAGTTAAATTTACGTTAGGAATATTCGAACACAGTGGCATTCTATATCACGTGACGTCCACGCCTCATGACGGACGCTACTTGTAAACAAACAGTAATTTTAATTTATTTGTAACAAACAATTATTTCTGAAGAAAGATTGAGGCCAATCTGAAATATCAAATATATATATATATATATATTTATTAAAGACATTTTTTTATGTTTAACGTTGTTATTTTTTATTTTTTATAGATACAAGTATTTAAGCAAATGCTCTGTTTATGATAAAATGTATTAAATAACATTTACCGGCCTGAATGTCCGAGAAATTTTCATAGAAAATATTTGTTCTTTGACAGGATTCGAACCTGCATCCTATACGGAACCGTCATATACGCTGACGTGCCTTACCTCTAGGCTACAAAGAAGCGTTCGGTAGACAAGGTAGAATTTACTGCTTATAAACTCCAATCTTCCATGAATCTCGTACATTCATAACTGCTCTGGCGTATCGAATGTAAACAAATGACGTCATATATTAAGAAATGGACAAGGTCCGACAATTTATTTATTAAAGACATTTTTTTATGTTTAACGTTGTTATTTTTTATAGATACAAGTATTTAAGCAAATGCTCTGTTTATGATAAACAGTATTAAATAACATTTACCGGCCTGAATGTCCAAGAAATTTTCATAGAAAATATTCGTTCTTTGACAGGATTCGAACATAAAAAAATGTCTTTAATAAATAAATTGTCGGACCTTGTCCATTTCTTAATATATATATATATATATATATATATATATGATAGATATTTATTAAACAGTGTGTATTACTTCTATCAGATCAGTCTGTGTATTCCATTTGAGAAATCTCGATAATAAAAAATGTGTTATGTGACAGTGATCAAACCTGTGTCTGCCTTTGGAGGGGAAACTATTGTTTGATCAAGTGTGATTTAATCGTTTGGTCACAAAGAACAACACAGCAAAGTTCAATGTTCCATTTTTAAGCAAGCTTTTCTCAAAAGCTTCATATCAGCTCATTTCCATATCTGAAACATAAGTATAGCAATTTCTAAAGAATTAACTGATTTATTTTAATCCAACTTTTTTATAACTTCAAACTTTATAGTGGTTAATCTGTATTCGAAATAGGCATTCTTATATGCACTATAATAATGTTTGAAGTAATAAAAATGTTAGATTAATATATATATATATGATAAAATATAGTTTTAATGTATGCTATATTTGTGGGTTAAAGTGCTCAATATCAGGGATAGTGGAAATAAGTATAAAAGTGGGCATTAAAGTCAAAGTCAACACCCAGAGGCAACAGTCCGTTTCATGCTAAAACGCAATCATCAAGCCATATGCATTGTGCTTTCTGATCGACTATTTATATGTACAGGTCAGTGATGCATTGTGGGAAGTCTGTTGTATTATTCTACATTAGACTACTCACAATGCATCCCTGACCTGTATAGTGATTTTCCAAGCCTACCTTAGATGTGGCACAAGGCCAAAAGTAGGGACATCCAGTGAGGATTGAACTCACTACACAGTTGTAATTGTTCTAGCAAGACACGCTTGCTAACCATTACACCACCTCAAGGTGCCCTCCCTGACCTGTATATATATAGTCAAGCAAAAACAACACACGATCTGTTGATTGCATTTAAGACTGTCACTGCTGCGTGTTGACTTCAACATCCATTTTATATATATAAGTTAAAGATCAAATATGGATCAGAATCCAACAGGATGATAAAATAAAGAACAAATATATCAATCTAACATGTTTCATTTTTATCAAAGCTTTGTCAGAGATTGAGAGAAAACAGACTGAAACACTGGTATTTTCAATGTTTGGGTCAGTTCTCATTGGTCAGACATGTGTCACATGCATTATAGCCATAAATAATTCTATGTGCATGTAAGTTTGTAAAGATCCAGTTGGCATCAGATGGTAATGTGTATTTGTATGTATGTCTGTCTAGTGGGAGTTCTGATATCTTCACTTGTGTGCAGTCAGCCTGCACAGTGAAGTGTCACATGGTTCTAATTTATGACTAACCTCTTTAAGCATGTATGAGATAAATATAAGTTAGATTCTTTAAGAATGGATTCAAAGAAAGATGGGGATGTAATGTTTTAGGTGTGTATTTATAGTTGGTAATAATGCTAAGTTTTCTATGTTTTCTTAAAGAATTGTTCTTTTTTTATTAGGGTGGCATTAGTGAAATCTATCTATCTATCTATCAATCAAAAGGTGGAGGGGTAGATGAAAGCAAATAAGTAATCTCTTAGGGATTAGAAAGAAGGTTAATTATATCCACTGACATGATTTTGTCTTTATTTCTACCTATAATCTCTTCACTTTTGTCTTAAGTTTTAATAATGTCTAATATTAATTGGCTCAGAAACATCCAACATTATCAAACTCTCACAAATAAAAACAAGTCAGAAAATCCTTAAAACACATTTTATAGTTATAAGACGTTAATAAATTTAAACAAGTTAGTGATGAAAAAGGTCTTTAGAAACATTTACGAATAATAATTGAGATAACTTTATATACTTGCGTGTTACACAACTTTAAGGACCTAATTTTGAAGCTAATTTTAAGGGGGTTGCATCATACATAAGATATAAAATTAGTGTATATACTGCTGACTCTGACTACCTCATTGACCAAACCATATATTGTAGTCAAATTAACTTCACAATTAGGTCTTCAAATGTCGCATGATATGCAAGTATATACAGTACATTGGAATTCATACATGTTAGTCTAGATATAATACTTGCTAATTAGTTAACAGATCAAACTCTTGTCATGATCTGCTAATGCAGCTTTGTGTTAGACTAAGCTAGGTTAAACAAATTATCTATATGATAGCCCCAAATAAGATCATCTCACAAGACTATTTGAATTGAATATCTAAAAGTTTAAAAATTTAAAATTGGCAATGTAGATCAAATGTTCTTAGAAACAAAAAAAGAAAAAAAAAAAAGTAGCAAACTGTGATGTAATATCAAATCTTGATTGTTCAATATAAATACTGAAAATTCAAGAAAGAGTAAAAAGTTTTAAAGAAGCTACAAAGAAACTGTTGCTAACAATCCAAAATAATGAGGAAAGTAGGCTTGGAGAATCTCACTGGATATTAAAAATACATGTGAGGAGTTTGAGGGGAGCAGATAACAGAACAAAGATAAAGATTGATAATGAAGAGGCAAGAAGAGTTTCTTACAACAACAAAAAACAGGAAGTTGTGAAGAGCTATTATCAACTATATCAGAGAATTTTTAGAGATCTCAGTTGTAGTATATATGTCAATTGGCTTAACCCTTTAGCATTTAGAAAAACCCAAATCTACTCTGTAACCATGTATACACTGTCATAATATATGACAACCTCATCACAAATACTACAGGAAGTCACACAAACAGACTTTGAGAGTCAATATTTATTGGGCAGATTTGAGCGTGCTAACTACTAAAGAGTTAAACCTAAAATTTGTTGCATGTGTGCCTTAAGCTGATATCTGTAACAAAATTTTAACTAAATTTTTTAATATTAGATTAAATTTTGCCTAAAAGACACCGATTCCTAATTTAATTCTTTGTAATCCATTTTGAATTTTTTTTTTTTTCTTTTAGCAATTATTGTTATTATTTAAATATATGATCATGGTATGGGTTAACTATGGATTGAAAATATAACATCAAAATTTGAAGGCACCCTGGGATAGATAAAGAAGCCTTCTGAAAGCTAAGTATTAAGAAACAGAAGCATTTCATTAGAAACAAAGAAAAGAGAGCTGAACTGCTATATAATATCAATTTTCTTATATGGCAGTGAATGCTGGGCATTTTCCGCACAGATGAAGAGGAGAGTTGAGGCAACAGAAATGCGGCTCTACAGAAGGATGCTGAGAGAACATGTGAGGAAGTTTTAAGGAAAATGGAAATAAAAAAACAAGACAGAATTTCTGGGGCACAATAAGGAAAGAAGACTTGGGGAATTTGATACTCACTACATATTGGAGCAGAGGAAAAACATTGAGTAACCTACTTAACAAGCTTGTGTAAATAAATGGATGGCAAAAGAGAGAAGGGATATAGTAAGGAGACAAATATTTAGAACTACGAAGGAAATTGTGGAGAGCCATGATCACAACCCTTCTTTTATATGCTGTGTCACTTCCAGGGGAGGGTTAAGTTTATCTGATGTAGAATAAATGCATATTAAATAAAAAATTTTATTCCCACCCCCTATTTTAAAGTCATCAAAAAAAAAAAAAAAAATACACTTGGGCTTATAAGATTGGATGCAACTCAATACCACCTTAAAAATGGCTGTAAAATTGATTAGCAATAAAATGAGCTCAGAAAAGTGAAAGGTGTAAATTAACTTTTGCAATTTTTTTCATTACAGATCTGTGATGAAATAACAAATCGGTGCTTTACGAAGAGTATATTTGAAACAAAACCAGTTAATTCATTATTATATATCTTCAATATGCATATATATTATCACATTTCTAGCTAATTGAATATTCTAAGAATACCATCAGGAAACATTTTAAACAATATTCCCTAAATTGAAAATAAAATGCTGTAATGTAACTTATTTAAGAGAATTATGCTTCTGGGTTTTTGGTGATAATTCCTGTATAATCACAAAATTGCCTTGTTGAAAATTCCCCCTTAAAAAGACAATTCCTAAATGGTTGGTTTATCCAGTAAAAGAACAATGTGAAAAATAGAATTAATTTTGACTTTCTTTCATCTTAATTTAGGCTTTATCCTGACTGACTTTATATCAGCCCAAGTAACTAAAAATTAAAATGGAAGAAAAAAAATGATAGTCAGTATTAACCATTATCACTCTGCTGTATGCAATTTCTTTTACTGAAGGTGGCTATGATCCCTGACCAATAGTATGTTTGAATTTCATAGTTGTGTTGTCATATCCTGCTATAGTAACAGAAAACAACTTTGAGTGAAATTAATGATAAGGATACTGCAATTGAGAGACTTTGAAAAAAAAATGCAGTAGAAAGAGAAGTAATATTAATAATGCAGAGTACTAAAGGTTAATAATGGCTGACAATATTTTACTTGAAAATAACTCTTATTAATTCTTAGGCATCTGCAGATATGAAACAATTGTCTTTAACCGGATTTCGTATTATCAAATATAATTTTCCCTTTTACCAATTTTAAAGTCAAGAATAAAAGTAATTTTAAAAATTTCTAGGTTATTAATATTTGATTGAAAACATTGAGATTTTGTTTATTTTTCATGCTTCTATCAATAAAAAAATTATTATTATTTCTGGATGAATTATAGATATAGCAATACTAAGTGACTATTTGAAAAATCTGTAACATGGGAAATTATTTATGTCATAGGTAAACCTGACATAATATAATTAGACATAAAGTGGGTGATCTGTTTTATATTGTTAATAAGTAATAAGATGATCCCCCAAGAATTAGTACACAATTGGAAAAAATGTATTGAAAGATTCACATGTAAAAACCTCATAATAATAAGGACTTTATCAATGCCATCAAAAGTAAAAGGTTATTTTGTTAACTAGTATTTTACTAATAGAGTGGAAGAAAAACATTTAAAATTTTAAATAGTGGCTTATTCATTCTTGAAATTATATATATATGTATGTATGTATGTTCATCCTATAAAGGCCTAAGAGCCACTCAAGCTAGAGAGTTACTAAAGGCAATTGTATTAGCGTTAAGAGTAAGAGGCATCCTCTTGGGATATATATATATATATATATATATATATATATATATATAAAATAAATGTCCATCACTACAACTAGAGAGCTTGTAACTCTCTAGCTTGAGTAGCTCTTACTAAAGGCAATTGTATTAGTTATGAGTAAGAGCATATATATATATATATATATATATATATATAGAGAGAGAGAGAGAGAAATTAACTGATTTATTGTATCTATAATACTAATACAAGGCAATCCGACGTAATATCTTTTTAGAATGAAAACAAAGCTAGAGATTTAAGAATATAAAATTGAAATCATTTATTATATTTTTCTTTAATCATTTCACCTCAAGCAAGGCAATAAAGCCACTAAGATGCAAGGGGTTATGGAGTGAGAGAGAATACGAGAAAAAAAAAAGCAATGACAATAAAAAGAACAGTAATTAAGAAGACACGAGAATCATAGACATTGCATTTATATTTTTGAAGATCAAAGTTGACTGGAAAGCCAGAAAAGAGTTCCACAAGTGAGAAGTGCGACAGAAGAAACTTAGCATCGAACTAACACTTACATCCAGTCATTTCAACCATAAAATGAGGAGTTCTTACCACCAATGTAGTACTGCATTTAAATTCAGAAAGTCTATGTATCATAGAAGAAAGGTCATCAAAACAATTACCATGAAAGTATATATAGAAAAGGTACCTTATATATTCTGTGATGTTGGTGACAAGCTCTCTAGTTGTAGTAATGTCATAGGCTATTTGTTGATATAAAGAAATGGTCTCACATATGTCAAAGTCAAAATTAGAAATGCAATTGAGATTGCAAATAAGTCTATCAACTTTGTGAACAAAACTAGTCCTTTTTTTGTCTACTTATTTATCTATACTTTTACTTTATATAACTGTTTTAGTTTAAAGCTAAAAACATATCTAGCATATAGATAATTCTTTATGATTATTTACTAGTAAAATAGGTAAAAATATCAGGGGATAAGAAAAGTAATTTTCTAAAATTTATGCTTCATTTTTAATATTAGTTCACGAACACATCCTTCAAAAATAGATATTACTCAAATCAAAATCTTATAACATTATTATCTAATAAAGGCAAACTTTAACCTACGTACCCACAAAAAAAAAAAAATGTCAAAAGGACACTTTGACAATTTTTTTTTTTTTTTTTTAAATCGAGTTCACCCCAAGCAAGGCAGTAAAAACATTAAGATACAAGGAGTTACTGGATGTGAAAGAATTAGAAACATTACTCTCCTTTTGTTCTCACTCCTTAGTAATCAGGAGGTAGATAGCAACTGAGATTACATTTAAAGTTTTGGCGGGAAAGCATAGAGCTGGAAGGGAGTTCTACAAGCAAGAAGTGCGAGAAACGAAACTGTTAGCTTAGAATTTATGGCTACATCTAGTCAACTCAGCTCTAAATTGATGAGATCTTGATGCCAGTCTAGTAGTGCACTTAAATCAAAAAAAAGTCTAGGTGGCATAGCAAAGAACTCATCTGAACAATTATCAT